AAAATAAAAATATTTAATTTAATTAAAACTAAAGTTCTAAAAAAATAAAAAATTGAGAACACAAGCAAAAAAAAAAAAAAAAAATAATAAAAAAAAAAAAAACTGTAACAACTTACAAGGGAAAAATATACACTCCTCTAAATACACATATTAATTTACATAAACACTAAGATAACGGCTCATATAGCAAAAATTCTCTCTCGCTCTCTCTGTATGTCTCGCTCTAAGTCTCACGATGTCTTGACGGGCTTTATATAGAATTAAATCCATACGTTCTATAAAAAGAATTCTAGACATTGCATCATATAATGGCGTTCTTGAAGAAAACAAATGGAATGCATTCGAATGTAAACAACCTTTTACTAGCTAAGAAAGGGACGGACAGGGTAGGACGTCAATATCAAGGCCAAACTAGCAGACAAGTTGTGGTGTCTAAAAATAGGTCTACCCTACAATGCCTTGTTTGGTGCAGTGGTACATGATCTCCATTCTTCAATGACTGTTGTGGTTCATTGTTACATTATTCCCGTTCCCCAAATACATGAAGTGGTGATGTAATACACGTCTCCATACCCTAATGTCGGGATTGTTCATTAATACACGAACTCATTCTAGCAAGACATTTTGATACCATCTCACTTCCCCATACATGATGTGCTGGTTCAGTTACACATGATCTTCATCGCCTAATCTCTGGAGTAGTTAGCAATGATTCTTGTTCTCTTCTCCATTGGCTTACGTCCCCCGCGTCCCCCCCCCCCCCCCCCCCCCCACAAACCAAGGCATGGGTTGGTGCAGTGAGGCATTTTCCCAATCAATTCTACAAATTATTTGAGCGATGCAGAGATATATGATCTCCTTACCTCAATGCTTCAACTGGTGCATTGATGCGTGATCTCCTTACCTTAGTGTATCCACTGGTGTATTGGTACGTGATATCCTTACCCTAATGCCTGAAGTGCATTGATGCATGATCTCCTTACCTTACTGCATCCACTGGTGCATCGATACGTGATCTATTTACCTTAGTGTATCAATTGGTGCATTGATACGTGATCTCCTCACCTTAGTGTATCGACTGGTGCATTGGTACGTGATATTCTTACCCCAATGCCTGCAGTGCATTGATGGATGGTCTCATTACCTTACTGCACCCACTGGTGCATTGATACGTGATCTCCTTATCACATGGCTGCACCGGTGCATTGATGCGTGATCTCCTTACCTTAGTGTATCAATTGGTGCATTGATAAAAAATAATTGATATGTGATCTCCTTACCTTACTGCATCCACTGGTGCATTGACATGTGATCTCCTTACCTTAGTGTATCCACTGGTGCATTGATACGTGATCTCCTTACCTTAGTGTATCCACTGGTGCATTGATACGTGATCTCCTTACCTTAGTGTATCCACTGGTGCATTGACATGTGATCTCCTTACCTTAGTGTATCCAATGATGCATTGATATGTGATCTCCTTACCTTAGTGCATCCACTGGTGCATTGATACGTGATCTCCTTACCTTAGTGCATCCACTGGTGCATTGATACGTGATCTCCTTACCCAAATGCCTGCGCCGGTGCATTGATGCGTTCATTGTTACATTATTTTTTCCCCTAATATCTGAATGGGTGAAGTGATATATGATCTCCCTCGTCGCAAGGCATGGTGTGGTGCAGAAATACACGATCATTCTCTACCAATTCCTTACTACCAGGGGTGATACTAGATGAAGGCCACATGCTCGTCTTAGACGTTAGAATAAAGTTTTTCAATGGATAGAGCCATATAAGATTGCAAAGAAAATGCCACTTATGGATCCCTTGGACCCCAAGGGATCGATTGATCACAAGTTAAAAGTTCCTGGGAGAGAACAATTTCCACTTTGAATAAAAATTTTAAAAAATAATGTGAATATGCATTTGACAGATGCCGCCATCGCACCATTATCGCTTTGATTCCAAGCATCGCCCACTGCCAAGCATTGGATTCACTTCACGGCCTCAGCTTGATTGTTCGATTTTTAAAATACAATAAATGATTGGCTTTTCTGCCCTATTCAGGGTCGATCCCATTTGAACTAGGCCTACATTGCTTGGTGCATACAGGATAACTCATGTACACATTGGTCTACTTCTTTTTAGACCTGTGCAAGTTGATGACAACGGACTTGTGACCAGGGGTAGGGTTTTACTTATTTCGCAACGCTTGGTTACTGTATGCTATTTCGAAATGTTTCGTTTTATATATAGCTTATATAATATGTGTTAACGTTTTATTTACAAGGGTTTTAGCTGGACCTTTAACATCTAATCCTGCAGATCAAGTAAGTTTGTATCGTCAATTTTATAACATGAATACCTATAGTGGCATTTAGTTACTATTTATAGTGTAAAACGCCTTTTATCGGTTCCTTAAAATGAGGGCTGCAATACATGAATAAACACAATAGGAAAGTAAATAACAAATTTTATGAGATTATAAAATTGGTACAACTAAGTCTCACGACTACGACATATACTGTGTTTTTCACACAGACTATGTTAGTCACTATCTCTATGATTTAAATGTTTTTAAACATGTCATTCTGATAATATAAACGTATGTGTATTGACATTATCGATAGGAAAGAGGTTCCCAATTACCGGTTTCACAAGAAGTAAGTTGGCTTTCAAAGAATCCCCAAAAAGAGGATGATTTATTGTTTTGTTCTACAGATACATCTATTTTCAAATAGCCATTTAGTCAAGGGATGTGTTAGCCTAATTAATTATCGCAGGAATGTACTAAAACGTCAGGTTGAAATGATTAAGAATCACTTTCCTTTGGTACCGGTATAAAATGGTATGAATCATCCTCAGGTGTATGATGTAGGCCATATAATTCAAACTTTCTTATTTGAAGTGCATTGCTACTTGCCTATCATTCTAACCACTATGTATTGACATAAATGAATACATTTTTTGTTTAACTCTAGGTTCAAGCCTCATAATGGGGAAACTGAATATATTTGAGATTTCATTTAACAATGGAAGTGGTGTTTTTTATAGTGGTAACATTGTTCAAGGATACGTCACAGTGGAATTGACAGAGCCAATGAAAATGAGAGGTTTGTGATTTTCAAAATAAACTTTTTAAACAGGAAAAACAACAAAATACCTTGCAAGTCTATTAGTAATTGTATTACTATTAGATTAGTGAATATATATTACATTTACACAAAAAAATACATTTACAATATATTGCATTTACTAACTTAAATCTCTGTTTTAAAAGAATGTATTCTGCTCTGTTTTAGATTTTACAGATTCTGAACAGATGCCAAGTTATTTATTAGTTTTCTCTTAAATTGAAGGTTCTTTATAAATTTTTATTTTGAAGGAATAAGGCTGAAATTTGAAGGTAAAGCCTACGTCCATTGGACTGAGAGTCATTCTACAGGCTCTGGTAAAAATCGCCACACAACAACTAGGCATTACTCGGCCACTGAAAAATACTTTGACCAAGATGTCCTTTTATTTGGAATATGTAAGCTACTTAAGAGAGAATTGTATATATATATGTATATAATATTTGCAGACTATTACTTCTAACAGTTATTTTTTTCAATTTTGTACGTACACTTACACAGCTGTCTCAGGACTGTAGATATCACTTGGTTTTTTTATCAGCTCAAATTGTCAAATATATTTTCCCTTAATTCATTGATACATTTAAATTATTTTAATTTGATGAATCATTTGTTTTTTTTTTCCTTTTTCCATGGAAAACGTCCAGGGTCCGGACAAGGCAGTGACACCAAAGAGCTGCCCGCTGGAAGGCATACATATCCTTTTCAGTTTCAGTTGCCACAAAGTCTCCCTTCTTCGTTTGAGGCAGTTATAGGCCATGTCAGATATACTGTTAGTAGCACAATTGACAAGCCATGGAAATTCGATCACAAGACCAAGCGGGTCTTCACGATCATCAGTATCTTAGATCTAAACCAGCAACCAAATACTATGGTAAAACACTTTTTAAAAATGTAGACGCTATTTCTTATAGTACAGATGTAAATAATTAATACTGAGATAAGTTTTACAATTTTTTTTTGTTTAGGTTGTTTTCAGGTCTCTCTTTGTTTGTCCAAGTCAAATCTTTTAACCAACTTTTAGATTAGACTTTTACCAAACCAATTTATGGTAAACGTATTATATTGTATTTGATTGAAAAGGAAATCATGGGATGAAAATAAAGGAAATGCTTCTATTGGGTGGTAGTTAGTTGAACATAACAATAAAAAAAGCTGGGGTGGGGGGGTTATAATAAAGGAAGTACACAACACAAGATACGCATCTTCCACTCTTTGTCAACATTTGTCCACATGTGGCTAAACCCCCACCTTTCCTCCTTCCGGATGTCCGTATACTGGATTATGCAGCGCGAAAAGCCAGGAATTATAACAATGATAATAAAGAGCAAAGTCAGTAGGTTTAAACCTACTAGTGCTCTTTATGCCCTCCCCAAAGCACGCCCCTAAACTGGTATCGAATTTGATCGAAAAAATTTCGTCGACGGTAAATTGATCGACGGATTTGAAATTTTGCCTCAAATTTCTTTTTGAACGCATCATTTGTTTTACTATATAGTAAAGAGCGTTAAAAAAGAAATTTGACGAAAAATTTAACTTGTGAACTGAAAAAAAAGATTCGACCGAATTTCAGCTCGATCAAATTTCTGTCGATCAATTTACCGTCAACGAAAATTTTTTCGATCAAATTTCCGGTAACCAAAAAGCTTCGGTGTGACCTTCCATTTCGATAACTTATATAAGCAATTTGCGTTATGGCTTTTTTTAAAAAAATGCTTTTAAATGTGTAGTTGAAATCCAGATCAACTTAAAAAGTTACATGATCAGTTCAAATGAGTCAATAAGACATGTTCATTTAATATGATTTTAAAAAAAATTCCCATTCCTCTATATTAGTGTCACGTCTATAATCACTCACAGTCTACCACAATCTAGTTATGATCCATGATTCTTCTTATCTTCTATAAGTCTATAACTGACTATAACAACAGAGGCGTAGTGGATTCAAGTGAAATTGTGACTATACTTTATTAATACACATGATGACTATAATAATCATAAATAGATAATACGTGTACTGATCTTAAAGAACACTTAGCATAAAGCTTCTCTACTTGATTACGTCACAATCACAATCTATTCATTACCTTATAACATAATATTATTAATATTAATAACATGGACTTCCAATAACGGTCATGACTCCATCTTCTTTATGCCCCTCCTCTGATTGGTTCCTATTCCCAAGTGCTCATCATATAATATATATATATATATATACATAAAAGTGAAATTTTGTTTGTGGCTTTGTGGGTTTGTTCCACAAAGACTTTTACATGGATTGATGGATCTTGACCAAACTTGACATATATATCCATCATTATCTAGAAAGAAATCTGAAGGGGTTATGAACTTTTTATAACATTCCGTTTGGGCCGTGGGCCCCGAATTCGTTTTTTTTTTCCCCTTATATGAGCTATATAAAAATAATTAGAAACAAATACTCCTACATGAGTAGATGGATCTTGACCAAACTTAGTACACATATACTTTATTATCCATATTCAAATACCGAAGGGTACTGAACTCATAATATCCATTTCTCTGAGGCCGGGGGGGGGCAATTAATTTTCCTAATATAAGCTATATAAATATCAATAGGCTTAGACAACACTATAGGTTCTATGTGAATTGCTGGATATAAGCCTAGGGTTGTAGCAATACACTTCATTGGCTGTATTGATATATTGGTGGATTGAAAACTAATAATATCCAATCTAGAATTTTCCAGAAAGTTCCATAATTTTAAAGTAGATTTTTATGGGACAAATTTTAAATGTTAACTCTATTATTTATCTGTCTGATTTTATAGGGCCCCCTATCTCAGGTATAACTATATCGGTACAGTTATGGAATGGGTCCCCCCGGCCCCTCGATTAACTTAAAAGAAAAAGGATTATAATTATGGCATTTGTTGAAGATTTTTTATCGTATTTGAACAATAATTAGATAAGTAGTTTTTAAATATGTTTCGCGCAGCTTATTAAATTTAATCTAGAATATTCCAGAAAGTTCTAAATTGTTCCAAAGGGATATGTAGTGGGATCTAAGGGAATATTGAATATTTCGGAATAGAAACAAAGGGGTCGGGATCCCAGCATAATCATTATCCCAATGAGATCAGGATCCCAGCAAAAACGGGATCCCACCGGGATCGGGATCCTAACCTTGAATGGATCCACAGGGATCGGGATCACACCGGCAAATGGGACTGAGCCGAGATCGGAGTCAGAAACGGGATCGGGGATCCAACCAGGATGGGGTCCTATGCAATCCCGGGCCACGCCGGATATATCGGCTAGTACACTATAAATTACACGTGATAATTCTCACATCAATTAACTCCCTTGTAAATCATTATTATCTGTGACAATTAGTATAATTCCTTTTTGTGAATTCATTGTCACCAATTCAATTAAAAATGACATAAAATAAAGTCTTTTACTTCATTCCATACTTTTATAGTCTCGACTCCAAGGATCAAGACAGAAACATTTGTGCTGCCTCTGTTGTAAATCAGGGCCTATCGAGGCGTCATTTCACATTGACAGAAGTGGCTATGTCCCAGGAGAAGCTGTGAAGTTGTACGCTGAAATAAGTAACGGAGCAAGCCGGCGAATGGACAAATCATATGTTGACCTAAAAATGGTAATTGTTTGCTTTTGAACACTTCGCCGTATTTAAAAACATTAATAAATACCGGTACCCGGTACAACCATAATATTTCGAGATTTTATCTTTGATCATTTTAGCGCAAATGGTACAGGAATTGATAATAATATGAAGAATATTAATATATATTTTTTTTTTAAAATCATGCATAACTAAGACTACGAACAGTTTGTCCACACCAACTACTGTGCACAAATTATGGTGATGTTAAAGACAGCTGCGTTTTTTAAATTGAAAATTGTTCAGAGTGTTTTACTGTTGTTGTTTTTTTTCTTGAATAATATATAAATGGATTATTTAAAATAACTCGATTAAATAGCTTTTTTTTAAAAATAGCAAATTTGCGCCTGCAGATAGTACCGTCGTATTGAAAAGGGCAGTGATGCATGTTGGCATAATTTAAAGAATAACACTGGAATTAGTTTAGTATAGGGAGATCCCACGAGCCTGCTGCCAGATTGGTGAACGTGTTTTACTAAAATAAATCTCATCCCATTCATAATAATTTTGTTTAATGATTTCTATTCCAATTTGGATGCAATTTTAATGTCCGAGGTACTTCATTAAGGTGACAACATTTCGCGCCACAACCAAGTGTAGAACTACAGTGTCTGAAGTGGCTCGGGTTACCCGTCCAGGGATTGCCGGTCATGGCGAAGACAGCTGGACAGGAGAAGAATTAATAATTCCACCATTGCCGCCATCGTTCCTTGTGGGTTGCAAAATAATTGACATACATTATATTTTACAGGTAAGAAAAACTGAGTAGGGATTATTAGCTTTGTTCAAGACAGAAGTTGGCAGCCTTATCGTATCAGATGTGCTCAATGTCTTGCACGTCATTCTACGTAATTTGTATGACATATAAACCGTTTCTATTATTAATAAACAAATAAATTTAAACAAATATGAAGTGTTCAAGGGAAAAACCAGTGATGTCAGTTTTTCAAAATGTATATGTTATCTCCCTTGTTGCTACATTCCATTTAATAGAATAAAATGATACATAGGTCGAACTGAAAAAGCAGCGTAGTCAATAAATAAATACGTAGACATCTTGATATTTTCCTACTTTTATGAGGAATTTTACAACTTTAAATTAAATTTTCTCAAAACTCTCAAAACCTGACATCACTGGTTTTTCCCTTGAGCCCTTCATATAGAATTATTATTTTTTTTTACTTTGAAGACAGAAAATATGTGTACCGTGCCGGGTAGTTTAATCTTTAGGGTCCGAAATGCAAGTATTTGATAACAATTTGATTATTTTTTAGTACTATACTATTCACAATCCTATGAAGCAATAGGATCCGCAGAAGAGGAAAATATCTATGGAAAGATACAAATAACACAGGCTAACAATATCCCAAAATAACAATTGAATTACACAGCTAACAAGTAAACATGTTTAATAACCCTGCACTTGCAGGCTATGGCAAAATATACTTAACTAAAAATAGAGATGCATGATGATGCCGTATGGTACCTCTTCCGTCTTACCTATAATGGAAATTAAAATTATATTCTTGTAATAATGTTTAATTATAAAAGAAATCACGTGGCAGGAGTTAGCTTTTGTTCACTTTGTTTTTGGAAACAATCTTATCATCACCTAGGGAACCTTGATACCACATGGCAAGAACGTCATGTCTTTATTCACAGCTTGAGCCTTTGCCCCACTCCTCTACATCACGACCAATCATTGTGGACCAACGTGCCCTATTTTCTTTCACTCTTTGCCTGTTTTTAATCACTCCCCTACTTATTTTCTGTCACAGTTCTTTTGCTGCCCTCTCTGATACTACTTCACAGCTAAGTGCTATTTTAAAATTTTATTCTGGTTTTGTTCCTGTTTTTTTTTTGTGAAGGCTCCTGTCGACACATTCGTTGATGTGCCGCGTTCCTTTTTATAGCTTTGACCATACTTTGTTAAACTCATTTTCTTTTTTGCTAACCTGATTGCGGTCTCTCCCCTTATTAACTTGTAGCACGCAGATCGTCTTACATTCAGAATCAGTGTGGGATGTGAGGGTTAACATACAGGTCTAGAAATTACTATTCTGTACTGCCGACCATGTATGGTGTCTATATAAGATGCACCCATAGGAGAACAGCTACATCTAAAATGTCATAAAGTATACCCACTGTTAGTATGATACTCATTGTACTGGTATCAATCAATAGCTGTGTCTTTTAAAGGTAAAAAAAAAAAAGCAATTGCAGGATGTCTAATTATTTGATACAACAGTTAACATCATTTTCCATATGAGAATTTAGCACATGGCAGGATAGTTACTACACATATTTTACGTATAGTTGCTGGTTGGATACTGTAGTGTCAATCGCTTATAAGCACATTGCAGTATGTGTAACCAGAACGATACAACGGTTAGTATTATGCTCACGTACACACGCATCTAATTCCGTGTTAGAATTCAGTGGACTGCTGTCTCTTCAAACATTACAATATTTTTAGTTTTTAACCTTGATATTCCTTTAACGATGTTTTGTTAGTCTTAAAAACTATGTACCTTTATTTTATATCCTTAGTTGAATGTTGACCCATCCGGACCTGCCTTGGATCTTGAGGTACCCTTAGAGATTATTATTGGTACCATACCTCTTAGATCTGTTGTAGACCAGCATCCTCCAATGCCACCACCCAATTACAATAGTGCCAACATGTACGCATGGGAGACAACTCCTACAGCTCCTCCTGCTGAGATGTTATATCCCCTTCCACCACCAAGTGGCCTGGCTAATTTGCGTGAGTAGTAATAGTAGGATTTTTTTTTCTAATGTAATACTCCCCTCAAAATATCAACATTTGTATAGTTGTAAGTAGATGCTGATTTGAGTTTCTTTTCTACTGTATATTCTAAATGTAAGGGGAAAAAACAGTTTTTAAACATATTAACTATTTGGCCATCAAATATTTAGCTATTTCTGCTAATGAAATCAGAATAGCGATAGATATTTTGCCAAAAGTATGATGTGCAAAGTATGGTATATTGGAACCGAAATGTGAAATGTTTTTTTTTGTTTTTTTAGTTATAAACAAGTGAAATTTCTTGACAGTCAATGCACATTGAAATTAAACGATTAATTAAATTTATTGAAATCTAAATAGTTAATTTTTAATGACTAAAATTACCCCTATAAAATATTGTTATCTTTTTTAGCATTATATTTAGATATTTTAATTGTTTCTCAAACATGCAATTTTTTTTTTACCATAAAAAAAATAATAATATTTCTCATCACACATAGTTATAAAAAGAAACCTTATGTAACTCAAACTTCTCTGTTTCAGCTCCACCCTCTTACAGTGAGTGCATTACTGGTCGTTATAAGACACACGAAGAAGGTGACAATGAGCATACCAGAGGTAACACAGAATATGCACCTGTTTACACTTACTATAACTGGGGTCATACCCCTGGGGCCATGCCAGCGCAAACCAAGACTGCTAGTTAATGAAAATAAACAAAATGAATAAGCAGACAAAAATTTAAAAAATATGCATTAGTCCTACAGATAATTCGTATCATGTAATATCTGTGATGAGCTAGATTATGTTTCAATCTCTACACAGCTATATACGTTTCATTTTATCTAACATAATTGTTTTTATTTTATTTATGCTAATTTTGTTATTATGTCTTGATTGTGTTTACCCATAGTGTAAATTACGCATATTTTCAATATACTTAATATTCTTTTGTACAATTTTTTTTTTAAAGTAATGGTAAAATATAAAATATTCTACACAAATCATTGTTAAACTGATAGGGCCTCCAATCCAACTTGTTTACATTTCTTGAACCAATAAAGTTACTGCTTGGCGCCTTCCAATCAGTTTTCCATTGTTCATAGCAAAAAGTTAACTCAATAAAATTTACTTGATTTTGTTACTTTTAGCTTTTTTACTTCTCAAACATTGTGTTCCCCTTATTATCTACATTGCAAAGAGCATTTTCTATCAATTAAAGTTATGTGATGTAAATATTCGGTGTGTTTAAATGTTTAAGTTTATGATTCTTTTTTTACTGGTACACAGTGTGAAAGTAAATAAATATTTTCTACAGCTTTATTGAAGCACTTTGCTATGTATACCACCTCGCAGCTGTGCACCTGTCCTATCTAATCCATATGGGGTTTTAAATGTTTAGTCACATGAACAATACAAACGTAAAATTGCAAATTAAAAATATGCTTTACACGTTGTGTACCGATATATATATATAATGTATATAATATAGACTAATATAATATATTATAATAATATACTTATATGGTATATGCATTTTTACCTTGATATTTTGATAAGAGGGCAGAAAGAGCTTGAAGACAAAACAATAATATGTACTATTTGTACATTAGTATCACTTATTTAAAAATATTTTTAAGTAAGTTTGTTTAACTAATAATTAAAATGTTCATGGCATGATGTTTATTATCATGGTCAAACATTTATCAAATTGTATTTTGCTCACAAATCACTCTAATGACTTACCGAGTACTTAATTTATTAAATTTCTTAACTAGAATATGCTTAATTAATGGATGTTTTTCTGTATTTTTTCACATTTACACAGTTATCTTAGAATGTACAGAGTTTAAAGTAGTTTTTTTTTTTTTTTAAATAAAATTAAAGCACAAACCATTTTCTCTGGCAACTGAATAAAAAATTTAAAAAATAAAAAGAAGAAATTAAAACCACGCTTACTTTGTTTTCCTTTTATGTAACTTTAGAAAATACTCACCCAATGGGATAGTTATCATAAATTATGTCTGAAACAGCGAACAACATTTTTGTGATGATGACAATAATAGTTATTTATTTTTTTACAATAAGTCATGTGATTCATTTTAATGATTGTTCAGTTAATACCAAAAGAAGATCAATGAATTGCTAGTTTATTTGAAATTTCAGGGTAAATTGTTATATGATATTAACAAACATTTTATATTCATTTATATAACGTACATGTTTCAGTCATTTATTTTAAATGTTTTTGATTGACAAATTTACTATTGACATTTACACGACATTTTCTCTTCCCCTCCTCTCATTTCTTACAGACTCGATAAAAATCTGCGAGGCCTACTTGTGCGTAGTCAAATCAACGCTGCCCCCTCCTACTTTGCGACCAAGCAATGCTGACGTAGTAGTTGCAACTCTTGCCTTTTCGTCGTCCATACTCAACACATTCCCTTCTCGAAGGGCAGTCTTCAGATAAGGGACGGTTTCCTTAGTACTAGCCGCAATGTTGTCTACGTCATTGTTTGCACCCGCTGCAAGATGTCGTACATAGATGAGACAGGACGCCGACAGATGTACTGAACACCACCACAGTATTACGCAAGCTAAGCAGTGTCCTCTACATACTACAAAAGAAACGACCACAAATGAGCTGCGGATGTTACTATAAGTGCGATCGTGTCTTGCACTAACACACTGTTATAGGCGTCTTGTTTCCTTTCATTTATCTTTTGTCGTGAAAGAACTTTAGCGGACCTCAAGTTAGGCACCGCGTTTAGGTGTGGCTAATTAAAAGTAGTCTCACTTGATTTTGTTTACAAATAAATAAAGTCTATGCTCTGTATAATTAAAATTATGTAGAATTATCGAGACTAATCGAAAAAGAAATTCAATGTGTAAATCCGTTTTAGAAATGTCTCTGAAACAGCCTATATATACACCTCTATAGATTAATAATGAGGGTGATTTGTTACACGAGATTTAGCTTCTTTTTTTTTTTACTAATATTTGCCTTGTGTGGTGCTGTGATGCATGTTTTTCCTTTCCCAGTACCAGGGCTGGTGCAGTGATGCATGACCTCCGTCACTAAATGCCTCGTGTAGTGATCTAACCCTCAACCCAAGGCAGTGAGTGGAGAACTGATACATGATTTCCTTACCCCATCCCTTGATTGGTGCAGTGATACGTGGTCCTACCCCCCATCTCAAACTGTTGTGGTGGATTGATACATGATCTCCCGTGCCCAATGAATGTTGTGGCTCATTGTTACATTATTTTTTTCTCCAAATGTCTGAATGGGTGAAGTGATATATGATCTCCCTCGTCGCAAGGCATGGTGTGGTGCAGAAATACATGATCATTCTCCACCAATTGCTTAACATCAGGAGTGATGCTAGATGAAAGGGACATGCTCGTCTTAGACGTTAGAATAAAATTTTCAATGGATATAGCTATATAAGATTGCAAAGAAAATGCCACTCATGGATCCCTTAGACCCCAAGGGATCCACTGATCACAAGTTAAAAGTTCCTGGGAGAGAACAATTCCCACTTTGAATAAAAATTTTAAAAAATATATATATATTTGAATATAAATTTTACACATGCCGATATCACACCATTAACTCTTTGATTCCGAGCATTGCCCACTGCCAAGCATTGGATTCGCTTCACGGCCTCAGCTCGAGTGTTCGATTTTTTAAAAAAATACAATAAATGATTGGCTTTTCAGTCCTATTCAAAATCGATTCTATTTGAACTAGACCTACATAGCTTGGTGCATGCAGGATAATTCATGTACACATTTGCTCCACTTCGTCCTACCTTCTTTTAGACATGTGCAAGTTAATGCCAACGGACCTGTGACGAGGGGTAGGGTTTGACTTATTTCGCAACGCTTAGTTACTGTATGCTGTTTCGAAATATTTCCTCTTAGATATGGCCTAGCCTTTTTAATATGTGTTAACGTTTTATTTACAATGGTTTTAGCAGGACTTTAAGCATCTAATCCTGCAGATCAAGTAAGTTTGTATAGAGTTATATTTTATAACATGAACACCTATAGAGGCATTTAATTTCTATTTACGGTATAAAAGACCTATTCGTGTACCTTAAAATGAAGGCTGCAATACTTGAATAAACACAGTAGGATGGTAAAAAACAAACTTAATGAAATTATAAAATTGGTACAACTAAGTCTCCCGTCTTATGCTGAGTTTTTCGCACAGACTAATTGACTATGTTAGTCACTATCTCTATGATTTAAATGTTTTTAAACATGTCTTTCTGATAATATAAACGTATGCGTATTGACATTATCGATAGGAAAGAGGTCCCAATTACCGATTTCACGAGAAGTAAGTTGGCCTACAAACATGGGCACCCGCAGGGGGGGGGGTCAAGGGGGCACTGCCCCTCCTCCCCTGGATTGATTGGATAAAAAAATTTAGACAGTTATAGACAAAAAATGTATTAAAGTAAAGAGAAAATAAAGAGAAAGTAACTAAGCTGATGTCCTGTCCGTTCGTTCACCATACAAATACGCTACAGTAAATTAAAACTACATTAAACATTACTAAAAAAAATGTGCCCCCACCCCTAGAAAGTTAATCGATTTAAAAAAAATAATTAAAAAAAATAAGAACATGATTTATTGTTTTGTTCTAGAGATACATCTGTTTTCAAATAACAATTTATTCAGCTGTATTGTCCTACTTACTTATAACAGGAATGTACTAAAGTGTCAGGTAGAAATTATTAAGAATCACCTTTTTTTTAGTACCGGTGTAAAATGGTAAAAATCATCCTCAGGTGTATGATGTGGGCAATACAACTCAAAATTTCTTATTTGAACTTGAAGTAAAGGCACTCTCCCCTCATGTATTGCTACTTGGCTATCCTTTTTTACCACTGTGTATTGAAATAAATGAATATATATTCTTTTTTTTTTTTTTTAAACTCTAGGTTCAAGCCTCATAATGGGGAAACTGAATATATTTGAGATTTCATTTAACAATGGAAGTGGTGTTTTTTATAGTGGTAACATTATTCAAGGAAACGTCACAGTGGAATTGACAGAGCCCATGAAAATGAGAGGTTTGTGATTGTCAAAATAAACTTTTTAAACAGGAAAAAGACAAAAAAATACCTTGCAATAGTTATTGTATAATTATTAGATATAGTGAATATATATTATATTTGTAAAGAAAATTATATTTACTCGCTTTGGTCTCACCTTATAATCTGTTTTAAACGGTGTAATCTGCTCCGTTTTAGATTTTACAGATTCTAAACAGATGCCAAGTTATTTATTAGTTTTCTCTTCAATTGAAGGTTCTTTATAAATTTTTATTTTGAAGGAATAAGGCTGAAATTTGAAGGTAAAGCCTACGTCCATTGGACTGAGAGTCATTCCTCAGGCTCTGGTAAAAATCGCCACACAACAACTAAGCATTACTCCGCCACTGAAAAATACTTTTACAATATATTGCATTTACTAACTTTAATCTCTGTTTTAAAAGAATGTATTCTGCTCTCTTTTAGATTTTACAGATTCTGAACAGATGTCAAGTTATTTATTAGTTTTCTCTTAAATTGAAGGTTCTTTCTAAATTTTTATTTTGAAGGAATAAGGCTGAAATTTGAAGGTAAAGCCTACGTCCATTGGACTGAGAGTCATACCACAGGCTCTGGTAAAAGTAGCCACACAACAATTAGGCATTACTCCGCCACTGAAAAATACTTTGACCAAGATGTCCTTTTATTTGGAATATGTAAGCTACTTAAGAGAGAATTGTATATATAGAATATTTGCCGACTATTACTTCTTACAGTTATTTTTTCCAAACATACTTTTTTTTCTCGAGTTTATACGTAGTCTACATTTACACAGCTCTCAGGACTATAGATATCACTTGGTTATTTGATCAGCTCAAATTATTTAATATATTTTCCTTAAATTCATTGATACATTTAAATCATTTTAATTTGATGAATTATTTTTTCTTTTCTTTTTTCCATTGAAAACGTCCAGGGTCCGGACAAGGCAGTGACACCAAAGAGCTGCCCGCTGGAAGGCATACATATCCTTTTCAGTTTCAGTTGCCACAAAGTCTCCCTTCTTCGTTTGAGGCAGTTATAGGCCATGTCAGATATACTGTTAGTAGCACAATTGACAAGCCATGGAAATTCGATCACAAGACCAAGCGGGTCTTCACTATCATCAGTATTTTTGATCTAAATCAGCAACCAAATACTATGGTAAAACATTTTTAAATTAAAGTCGACGCTATTTCTTACAGTATAGGTGTAAATAATTAACACTGAGATAAGTTTTACATTCTTTTTTATTTAGGTTCTTTCAGGTCTCTCTTTGTTTGTCCAAGTCAAATCTTTTAATCAATTTTTGGTCTAGGCTTTTATCAAACCAATTTATGGTAAACGTAATATATTGCATTTGATTCAGAAGGAAATCCTGGGATAAAAATAACCTTTTTTAAAAGCTTAAAATCGACGTTGCATACAATGTGGATAAATATTATTAACTTCTTAGTGGTTTAAGATTATAATTATTTTGCAAATATATAAGCCATAAGGACGTCCACAATCATTAAATTTAAACATACTAGAATACCCGTGGTGGGCATTAAGAAACAGATTACAAAAAAGCTCGCTTGCAGACAACCGCAAGTTTCTTTACACCCCTTCCCTCACGCCCACATTTCAAAGATCCCCCCCTCCCCATTTGTGTGGATGTTAAGTTAATTTAATGTCAGTAATATTCAATACTAATCCCTCCTATAAGATACATTCTCGTCTAACAAATATGCCTTTATAGCATGGGTGCCCGCAGGGGGGCAAGGGGGCACTTGCCCCCCCCCTGGATTGATTGGATAAACATTTTTTAGACAAAAATAGACAAAAAATGTATTAAAGTAAAGAGAAAATAAAGCGAAACTAACTAAGCTGATATCATGTCCGTTCGTTCAACATACAAATACACAATAATAAATTAAAACTACATTAAAACATTACTAACAATTTTTTGCCCCCCCCCCTGGAAAGTTAATCAATTTTTTTGCCTCCCCCTAGAAAGTTTTCTGCGGGCGCCCATGCTTTATAGTATTATTGTAGGGGCTCCATGTCATGTATTTCTGTATGTTACCGTACTAAAATGTTGAAGTGTGGAAAAATAGTATTTCATTTCTAGGTCTATAGTATTAGCGCATTTTAACAAAACATGTACTGTATGGGGTAACTCAAAAAGCTTATAACAATAGTTTTTACACAGTCACACTTCAGTGTGAGCTTCCATTTCGATAACTTATATAAGAAATAGTCACGTTATAGCTCTACAAAAAATTATTGAAAATGCACAGTTGAACTACAGATCAACTTAAAAACTTAAAGATCAAGTCAAATAAGTCAACAAGACATGTTCATTTAATTTGATTTCAAAAAATTTCCTAACACTCTTTATTAGTATAGTTCCTTTTTGTGAATTCATTGTCATCAGTTCAATATTTAAAATGACATTAAATAAAGTCTTTTACTTCATTCCATACTTTTGTAGTCTCAACTCCAAGGAACAAGACAGAAACATTTGTGCTGCCTCTGTTGTAAATCAGGGCCCATTGAGGCTAGTTTTCATATTGACAGAAGTGGTTATGTCCCAGGAGAACCTGTGAACTTGTATGCTGAAATAAGTAACGGAGCAAGCAGGCGAATGGAAAAATCATATGTTGATCTAAAAATGGTACTTGTTTACTTTTAAATACATTGCCGTATTTAAGAAAATAAATAAATGCCGGTACCCGGTACAACAATTTTGACTTTGATGAATAGCTTTAATGCCTCAAGATTTTACCATTGATGATGATGATAATATGAAGAATACTTTTTTTTCATGCATAACTAACACTGCTAACAGTTTGTCCACACCAATTACCGTGCACAATTTATTGTTATGTTAAAGACAGCTGCGCTGGTTTATTTTAAAACTGTTACGAGTGTTCTACATTTAATTGTTTTTCTGCTCTTGAATAATATTTAAATGGATGAAAGCCCTATCCTGACAATTACTTTTAAAATAACTCGATTAAATAGTTTTGAAAACGGCAAATGTGGGTCTTCAGATAATACCGTCGTATTGAAAAGGGCAGTGATGAACGTTGACATGAGAATAACACTGGAATTAGTTTAGGGCAGGAATACCTCCAAGAGCCTGCTTCCAGATTCTGGATGAGTTTTACTGAAACAAATCTCACCCCACTTAATTATAATTTTAGATGATTTCTATTTCAATGTTGGATGCAATCTTAATATCCGAGATACTTAATTACTTGGCTACTTTATTCTTTTATTAAGGTGACAACATTTCACGCCACAACCAAGTCAAGAACAACAGTGTCTGAAGTGGCTCGGGTTACTCGTCCAGGGATAGCAGGTCATGGCGAAGACAGCTGGACAGGAGAAGAATTAATAATTCCACCATTGCCGCCATCGTTCCTTGTGGGTTGCAAAATAATTGACATACATTATATTTTACAGGTAAGAAAACTAAATAAGGATTATTATCTTTGTTCAAGTTAGAGGTTGGCAGCCTTATCATAACAGATATCATGTGCTCAATGTAGGCTACACTATAAACAAGGTCTCTCGAACATACCAGAAAGCGACTACGTAACACATTGACCAGGCCTGTCAATTACTTGACCTCTAGCGCAGACTGACTTTGGTAAATTGACAATCTCAAGAGACTCCAACCCGAATAAAAGTCAAAAGCCAGGACCAAAGCCTTGAAGACTTTGTGTTTAATCACGAAACACTGTTATATTTATATAAGTAAAATGGTATTTGCGAAACTCCCTAAATATATATATAATATATATATATATATATATATATATATATATATATATATATATAGATATATATATATATATATATATATATATATATATATACTGTGTTCCTAGAGTGGATGAACACAGAAACAAGTCTTACGGAGTGCGCTCTTTTGAAGCGATAGCGCCAAAATTATGGAACAGTTTTCCACAATCTTTAAAGGAGAATTAAAAATCATTTAAGAAACAATTAAAAACGTTTTTGTTTCATTAGATTTCGGAGGACCAGAGCGCAGTTAACAATGCTAAAGTGGCATGGATACCAGCGCGATATAAATATCAAATCAAACAATCCGGTAGAAGATTTTTCTAAATTTATTTAAATCTGGGTGGGGGAGGGGTTGGTTACTTTGCCCCAGGCAGCACAAGATACGTCTCAAAATAAAGGAATAAATTTAGTAAATAATTAACCTTCTTGGGAACATACATTTCGGAGGTAGGAAATAGGATGTGTACATTTTCACGTGGACGACATTATAATATTTAAATCCTATGGTATTACATTTGGGAAAAAAGAGATGTTACATTCTCTTTTTACAAATATGTGTATGTTCATTTTGCTCAAGGCAGAACAAGTCTCAAAATACAGGGGGTTTTGTGGTAGCCTAACCCCTAGGTCACATTCTGTAGATTCTGTATGCGGTCCTGACCCTCTAGAGCCGTGCGGCTCGCAAAGGCCTGAACCGGCAGGCTGTAGTCCAGGGCACCTCTTACGCTCCCAAGGTAAAGAGTTCTCAGGTGTTTTGTGTCAGCTCCCCAGGTGGTGCTGGCAAGTTTTTTGATCAGGCTGAGTTTTGACGTGGCTCGAGCGCCGAGTTCCCGTACATGGTTATGGAGTTGGAGTTTCTGGTCCAACTTTACTCCCAAGTACGTGGGTGATTTGTCCCATTTGAGCAATTTCCCGCAGATTTGGAGATCGATTTTCTCCTTCAGAGCTTTTATTGCCGTTTGTAAAAAGCAAATACACGGTCTTTTCCGCATTCACCCCCAATCTCCATTTCCGAGCGTAATCTTGTATCTTGGTGAGATCGCTCTGCAGCCGGTTCTGCAGCTGCTGGATGGATTTGCCAGAGCTCCAAATCGCTAGATCGTCCGCGAACATTGTGTTCTTTGTTACCAACTGTGACTGCAGATCATACACGTACGCCAGGAACAGGGTGCAGCTCAAGGCTGAACCCTGTGGGAGTCCATCCTCGAGTGCACACATGTTTGAAACCTTGTCCCCTACACGGGTGGATATGGTACGATTTGATAGAAAAGAATGAATCCACCTGTGCATGTTGGCTGTTACTCCGAGCAATTGTAACTTGTACAGTAGACCTGCCCTCCAAACTTTATCGTAAGCGTTCTGGAGGTCAATGAACACCGCGACGGTATGATTTCTCAACTGAAGCTCATTTGTTGTGCTTTGGATAAATTGGATTACCAAATCCATAGGTTGCCTCCCCTTGCGGAGGCCGCCTTGGTTGGTAGGAATGCTCTTGGTTCGTTCCAAGAACCAGTACAGTCTTGCGTTCACCATTCGCTCCGCTACTTTCCCTACACATAATGTGAGGGAAATCGGCCTGTAGACGGTTGGTCACTTGGTTTGCCCTCTTTGGGAATTGGTACAATCACTGCTCTTTGCCACGCCTTTGGATGCCTGTTGTTCAGGTTTTATTGATAAATTCTAGCAATGCGCTTTTGCCGTCCTTGCCCAAATGCTTGAGCATTTCATAGCAGACTTTATCGGGTCCTGGAGCTTTACCTGCCTTGAATTTCCCCAGTGCCGTTTGCAACTCAGTCATTGTAAAAGGTGCCGTGAAAACCTCTTGGTGTGGTCCCATTCGTTGGGCTCTGCTTCCAGCCTTCCGGAGTTTCTTGATGGCCCGGCTTTCGTCAGTGTCTCTGGCACTTTTGCAAACCCGACCAAAATGTATGTTTAGCGCGTTGGCGCGCTTTACACAGCTCGCCTCTGTGCCGGCCGTTGTTTTTAGGGGGCGGATATTGTGAGAACTAAAACCGATGAATTTGATTTTTTTTTAAATATTTTTTAAACTTGATATTCCTTTAAATATGTTTTGTTAGTCTTAAAAACTCTTTACGTCTATTTTTATTTCCATAGTTGAATGTTGACCCATGTGGACCTGCCTTTGATCTTGAGGTACCCTTAGAGATTATTATTGGTACCATACCTCTTAGATCTGTTGTAGACCAGCATCCTCCAATGCCACCACCCAATTACAATAGTGCCAACATGTACGCATGGGAGACTACTCCTACAGCTCCTTCTGCTGAAATGCTATATCCCCTTCCACCACCAAGTGGCCTGCCTAATTTGCGTGAGTAGAAGTAATAGTACCGGTTAGACTTTCTAAATGCAAGATTTCCCCCAGATGTTTTTTTGTTTTTGGTTTTTTGTTGTTTTTTTTTTTGGGGGGGGGGGGGGTTAAATTTTTTTCTACAGTCCCAAGCATAATTTAATNTTTGAAACCCAATAACTATTAGGGGGCCGTCCATAAAGTACGTCAAGCTCCAGAAGGGGGGGGGGAGGGGGTGTAAGAAAGCGTGACAGTTTGTGACAGGGGTGTCAGGCCATGTGTGGCGTCACACATTTATTTTTTTTTAATTTTATTTCTAATTCATTTTTTATTTTTTTAGTGGAATTTAATAGCATTAAAAATACATTTTAAAAAATGTGTGTATCATATGAATTAGTTTTATAACAAATAGCATGAAATGAGTATCTCCTGAATATGTTGTTCACGATTCCTGTCGCTAGGAGCGCTATTATGCTGTTGCGAAGCCTTGTTTTATGCATAGCCTTGCTTTCGTCTTTCGTGAAGTATTATTATTTCTATGTTGTCCCTGCATAATTATGTCACTGTCCTTTTTATTATTTAATCATTTGGTGAGGTCAAGTTTCTCAAATATACTTCTTAACCTGTGTAAAAAGATTGCATAATCGGAAGATTATCTAAAACTTGACCCTCACCTATTGTAAATAAATGAAAAAGCAGCAGATAAATGATGTATATTATATAATTTTCTAATCTAAGTGTGTTTTAGATTAAATTTTAATTAGGTGTTAATTTTTTTTTTTTAATTTGTTCGAAAGTGTGACGTACTTTGGGGGGGGGAGGGGTCCCGAGATTTGTGACACGGGGGAGGGGGTTAAAAATGGTCAAAAATAGCGTGACGTACTTTATGGACGGCCCCTAGGCCATTATCCAAAGTTTTTATAAATCAATTTAATTATATTTAGCTATTTCTGCTAATGAAATCAGAATAGCGGTAGATATTTTGTCAAAAATATGATGTGCAAAGTAACGGTGTATTGGAACCCAAATGACAATGTGCACTGCTTTTGTATAGTAATCTAACAAGTGAAATTTCTTGACAGTCAAAGCATAATGAAATTTGGTGATTTAATGGTTAAGCAGCTGTAACTTAAATGTAAATATTTACTTTTTAGGGCTAAAATTACCCTTATTAAATATTGTTATCTGTTTTAGCATTATATATTTTAGTTGTTTCTCAAATACGGTATCCATTTAAAAAAAAAAAAACTTGTTAAAAAAAATAATATTTCTTATCACACATAGATCTAGTTATTAAAAAGAAACCTTATATTCCTCAAACCTCTCTGTTTCAGCTCCACCCTCTTACAGTGAGTGCATTACTGGTCGCTATAAGATACATGAAGAAGGTGACAATGAGCATACCAGAGGTAACACAGAATATGCACCTGTTTACACTTACTATAACTGGGGTCATACCCCTGGGGCCATGCCAGCGCAGACCAAGAATGCTAGTTAATGAAAATAAACAAAATTCATAAACAGACAAAAATTAAATAAATATGCATTAGTCCTACAGATACTTTGTATCATGTAATATATGTGATTAGTTAAATTATTTTAGGATCTCTACACAGCTATATATAAGTTTCATTTTATCTAACATTATGGTTTTTTATTTATTTATGCTAATTTTTTTTATTATGTCTTGATTGTGTTTACCCATATTGTAAATTATACGTATTTTTAATATAGCTATAATATTATTTTATAATGTATATTATATAATATAATATAAAAAATATACATAGTCTATATATATTTATATATGATGCTGGGATCAGTGTGTTCTCCATTCTGTATGTGGTTTTAATTTCTTATTTTGATAAGAGGGCAGAAAGAGTTTCAAGATAAAACAATATGTAATATTTGTATATTGGTATCAGTTGTTTTATATTTTTATGTAAGTTTGTTTAACTAATTTAGTTTTCATAGTATGATGCCGATTTATCATGGTCATACATTTAACGAACTGTTTTTTGCTCACAAATCACTTGCATGATTTACCGAGTACTTAATTTATTGAATTTCTTAACTAGATCATGCTTGATAAATGGATGAGTTTCTGTATTTTTCTACATTTACACAGTTATGCTAGAATGTACAGAGTTTAAAGCAGTTTAGTTTGTTTGTTGTTAAAATAAAATTAAAGCACAACCATGTTCTCTGGCAACAGACGAAAAAAAAAGAAGAAAAAAGTAACATCATGCTAACTTTGGCTTCCCTTTATCAACATAATGTAACTTAAGAAAATACTCACCAAAAGGGAGACAGTGAACACAATTTTGTGATGAGTGACAACAATATTGATTTATTTTTACAATAAGTCATGTGTTTCATTTAATGATTGTTCAGTTAATTTCAAATAAGATCAATGAATGGCTAGTATAGGCTTATTTGAAATTTCAGGGTAAATTGTTATATGATATTAATAAAAAATTTATATTCATTTATACAACTTACATTTTTCAGTTTTTAATTCAAAATGTAATGAATGGCTAGTATAGGCTTATTTGAAATTTCAGGGTAAATTGTTATATGATATTAATAAAAAATGTATATTCATTTATATAACTTACATTTTTCAGTTTTTAATTCAAAATGTATAGAATTTATTTTAGATATTTATTTAAAATGTTTTTGATTGATCAATTTATTATTGAACTGTTTTATATTTATATTTTTAAAACAATTTACAATGTTTACAAAATATGTTTTGATCAACAACGTAATAGTTTGCTCTGGTCTATTAGCTTGAATAAACAAAATGAACCAATAATATAATTTTGTTAAAACATATTGGGCATGGCGTTGTTATTTCTAAGTTCAAGATAATTCTTTCTGTTGGTAGACAACCTTAGCTATAGCTGACTGACTGTCCTAAAAATAACAGTGGCAACATTTTGGTTACATCCCAAATCACATGTAAGTTGTCTCAGCCAAAGCGCCCCCTGTGCTGCACTTGAAAGTGTCATATATTCAGCGTCTGTTGTCGACAATACCACACATGATTATTTCTTACTTCTCCGACTTCTAGGTCCACTACCCATATGGAACACATGGCCAGATGAAGACTTTCGATCATCAACGTCATCTACCCACACGGGGGGGACCCCCCCGAGATATAGCTGAAAGAAACCCTTTTCAGTAGATCAACGGTTGTGTTACACAATGCCATAATTCGGTGTACCCTTTAGGCATCTTAGAATCCATTTTACTGCAGTACAGTATTGTTCAGATTGATAAGCCCAGAATTTTGCTACATTACCCACAGCGTAAGTAATATCAGGTCTGGTCCAAATTGGCAGATACAGTAAACTACCCACCACTGATTGGTAGTCCCTGGTCAAATTAATGACATTCTTCCTCTTTTCTCAACTTCACTCCTGGATCAGTTGGGGTCTATTTATGTTTAGAAGCTAGCAGTCCATATCTATCAAGAACTTTGCTTGTCTAACTTGGCTGTCCCAGTGCCGTGTGAAACAATGCGTATCGGTAATTAATATTCTATATTTTTGTCATTTTCATAAAAACTATTATTTTTATTATTATTATTTAGGCATTTTTGTATAGCGCTTACCTTACAGCTCTAAGCGCTTTACAATTATTAAAAAATATGTAAACTATTTAAACAATAAGTACAATAAAAATGAAAAACCAGAGACACTAGAATAGTAACTACAATGAGAAAAATGACTATAAAAAGCAGTAGCTAAACATTAAAATGGCTACAAAAACAAGTATGGTATTATAATAGTAATGTAGCCTAGTAAATTAACTGCCGCGGTAAACGCAAGACTTGCGTAGGCTATATTAATATTAGGTTTACCGCCGCGTAATACGTAGTTCCTTATCATTAGGCTATCAAAAGAGCAGTTGTAAAAAAATCAGAAGTAGGCTCCTTTTGATTGTTTTGATGACTTTAGCTAGAAAAATATAACGGTTTGAATGTGTCTATTTTTTGTGTTTGTTAATAAACGTACGCATGAGGGGGGGGGGGGGGGGGGCATCCATAGTGACAGTCTAGAAAGGGGCGGGGAAGTCATACTTTGAGTCGATGTGTGACGAGGGGGGGTTAATTAAAGCATGGTGACGTCACCTTAAAATATAACGGTTTGAATGTGTCTATTTTTTGTGTTTGTTAATAAACGTACGCATGAGGGGGGGGGAGGGGGGCATCCATAGTGACAGTCTAGAAAGGGGCGGGGAAGTCATACTTTGAGTCGATGTGTGACGAGGGGGTGTTAATTAAAGCATTGTGACGTCACCTTAAAAGCGGTATCTTATAGTTTTTAAAAATGCCCTGAATAAGTTCAATAACACTAAATTACCCACATTTTTTACATTATTCTTTTATACAAAATTATAATTAGTTTATTTGTAAATAACGATAACTGAGAGAATCAGTACAGGTATGCAAGGTCCGAGAAATGGCCACTTATCAAGTTGCAGGACTCCATTGAGAAGGATAATCGGAGTGTAGTGACAATGAATTAGAAAGTCGTCATAATTTATGTCGAAATGTGGAGACGGGAATCATAGGGGCTACGTCGGAAGTAAGATGGAACGAAAAATGTTGGACGGGTGGGGGGGGGGGTGATTTGGAAATTTTCTAGGCCAGGGACTCTTAGTTTTTTTTTTCTTTTTCAGAGCTGCATCCCCTACAGTCCGCCTCTCATCCCCTACAGTCCGCCTCTCATCCCCTACAGTCCGCCTCTCATCCCCTACAGTCCGCCTCTCATCCCCTACAGTCCGCCTCTCATCCCCCACAGTCCGCCTCTCATCCCCCACAGTCCGCCTCTCATCCCCCACAGTCCGCCTCTCATCCCCCACAGTCCGCCTCTCATCCCC